AATAATAAAAGCATTTATTTAAACACGATAGTAAATTTACAGCATAGCTGATGTGGTCGTGCACGTAAAACTAACTACAATATATAAATATAAACTAACTGAATACATCTATCTCTACATGATCTAACAGAACAACAAATTACATGTCACATGACTGAGATACTATTTTACACAATCCATACATATTAACTACTTAAACCTATGGCGTCGCATTGTAGCACAATTGTTATATTATATATGACCATCTAATTTCCAGTCAGTCAGTAATACCAAAACATAAACCCTTTAGGAAATAACTACGAAATACTTTAGACATGCAAGTAGAAGCTTTAATTAAGTGCTCTTAGCGAGATTAACCAGCTTTGTTGTAAGATATATAGCTATGTTAAGGCAGGATTTGATTAATTTAGCAATAATTAGGCATTAGCTAGTCATATATTAATTATTACTGTCTACAATTGCAACGCCTTGACAGACTTTTTGAACTTAGCGAGAGATTCAGTTGATTTAAGTTCTTTATCTAGCGAGTTCCAGAGAGTGACAGCCTGGTAAGATATGGATTTTTTTAGATAGTCAGTGTTAGGTTTCGGTAGTACATAAGTCATTTTATTTCTAAGTTCATAGCGATGGCCAGTTTTTATGAATAGAGATTGCAACGTTGCAGGAATCAGATTATAATAGTTTTTATAAGCTAAGTATAAAAGTTGTTGTTTAAACATACTGTTCAGCGTAAACCACTTCACTTTTGCGAGAACATCTTTTCCTGAGGTGTACCAATCCAGGCCAAAGATAACTTTCGCTGACCGGACATGTATTCGTTCCAACTCGTCGAACAAGGTCTTTCCAAATGAATCCCATATCAAAATTCCGTACGTGATGGAAGGTAACACAACTTTGAAATAAAAGTCTAGCTTCGCATTAATTGGCAAGAAGTACAATGATTTCAGTAGATTGAGTTTTTGACTAAATGACAGAATTAAATCCGAGACATGACTGCTCAACCCCAGATTGCAGTCGATTTGCAGCCCTAAACATCTGCTTGACACGACCTGTTTTATCTGGTTTTCTCCTAATTTGATGCATTGGAGTGGGCCGATGAACTTCCTTCGACTCATCAGCATGAACTCCGTTTTGTCAGGATGCGGCGTCAATCGATTTTCGCAGCACCATTTGTAAAGTTTGCCTAAGATCCTGTTCAGAATATTTGCCACCAAATCGTGATTTGGCGCAATAACATAAAGTGTAGTATCGTCCGCATACATGTAAATTTCTCCTTCTTTTAAGTCGTCGATATCTGGCAAATCATTACAAAATAACGAGAAGAGAATCGGACCTAGCACAGATCCTTGGGGTACACCAAACTTAACAGGCATTGACTTCGATACATGACCATTGATCACAGTCGCTTGATGGCGATTCGAGAGATAGTTCTTTATCCACGACCAGAGATTGCCCGATACACCTAGCTCTTGAAGTTTCCTCAGCAAGATTGGGTGAGAGATCGAATCGAAAGCCTTTCGAAAGTCCACGAAGACAACACCGACCACTAAGTTATCGTCTAATGCCCGTCTCCAATCTTCGGTCATTTTCACCAAGAGTAACTCTGTCGAACGACTTTTCTTGTATGCCCATTGATGAGTGTGGCTGAGCTCATGGTCTGCGAGGTGAGTGGTGATGGTTTGGGACACACATGTCTCCATGAGTTTGCCGGGCACACAGAGCAAGGATATGGGTCTGTAGTTGCTCTTCTCAGTTTCATCGTCCTTCTTGTACAGTGACGAAACAATGGCATTTTTCCACTGGTTGGGTACGCTGTTACTTATTGCACTTGAAGTGTAGAGGGAAAGTAGAGATGGAATCAATGCCCAACCAGCGTTCTTGAATGCTCTGAAGGAAACTGCACTTGTCATCCAAATGCAACTTGCACTAATACACAAGGATCATACGACTGTCAATGTAAACACGGATTCGAAGGGGATGGAAAGAAGAACTGCAGGGGTAGAAAATTTTTCATAAAACAAAATTTACATTTTTCTTCTTCAGTAGAGATTTCTACGAAACACATATTAATTAAAAAATCTTACAATGATATAGATATTGACGAATGTTCTGAGGAGTCGACCAACGAAAGCCACCCAAATGCAATTTGTTCCAACGTTCCAGGTTCCTACAACTGTCTGTGCAAAAGTGGGTTTTATGGAAATGGGTTCTCTTGCACAGGTATACCGTCAGAAAGCAAATTAGAAATAAAAAATAAGAAAGGGAATAACATGAATAGTCTGTGCGAGTGTATGTAGTGCCAATAACATTAACGAGCTTTCTCTGCGTACCAACCCAAGCTTGTTATCAACATGAATCACAATAAAAAATAGTGTATGGCTGGTGTGGTGTGGTCTAGTATGTGGTGGTATGGTGTGGTATGGTATAGTGTGGTATAGTATGGTATGGTATGGTTTATTGTATGGTGTGGTATGTTAAGATGTGGTATGGTAAGGTGTGTTATGGTATCGTTTAATATGGTTCCTTGATAAGATGTTTACCTGTCTCTTAAGGCTATTCCTGTCACCCCTCTAAAAATAAATTTATTATATATATGGTATGGTATAGTACGTTATAGTACGGTATGATATGGTATGATATGGTATGAAATGGTAAGGTGTGGTATGGTATGGTATGGTGTTCATGGTAATATGGTAATATTATGGAAATGGAATCTCTTGCACAGGTATACTGTCAACATGCGAATTAAAAATAAGAAACCAAGTTGGGAGAAAAATGAACTACAATGAAAACGGCCTATAGCTAATGTCCATAAATTAGCGACCTTAATTATATAAAGCGTACACTCTGCATGAATTTCTTAGGTATATTAATGCCTGGGTCTACCCACGCTTGAATGATATCATGCGCGAGTGTTGCACGCGCGATCTCTCAGTGATGCGTTTATTAGAATTTGCGCGCCTTGTATGAGTATTTTAGTAGCCTACGGTGTAGACCCCAGCAGAAACACGTTTCGTGAGGGGTCTACGAATAAACGAAGAAAAGCTTGCCCGGCTACGTCATATCCGTTTTACGTTTTGGGTAAATTAACTTCAATTTATTCAAATTTCTGAAGCATGCGTGAATGTAAATTTTCATTTGGCGCTTATTAAAGGCATTAAAATGTTCCATGGCGGGCTTTGTGCAATACAAATGTGTTCTTTGCTTCAAAGTTCCGTCGAATAAAATTCTTGGACAGCAAGGACACTGTACGTAAGGAGTTAGACGACCTTTCCTTCTCCATTTTACCTACAAATAGCATTTGTAAAGCATGCCTTGCCGCCTGGCGTTGGTAAACAAACGGTAAAACGGAGAAGCTTCAAAGAACGGTTTAATATGTGAGCTAGAGCCTAGACAATACGATAACCAACGTGCACAAAACAGCATTAAACGCTATTGATAAATGTCGTGAACCAACTAGGATTCGAGCCGACTTGCGATAAAGCTTTTATGCCGGCTAGATTTAATAGTGTGAAATCGACTTTGTCTTCGACTTCGGAAATTTGATATCTTGACAAGTTTCAAGCCTTCAACAGCCTAACAGTTTGTAGGAATGACAAGAACTTTTTAGTCCGTTCGAACATGTGTTTAATGGTTTGGTATATATAGAGTTAGGGTATATTTTATTGCACAAAGCCCGCCATGGAACATTTTAATAACGCCAAATGAAAATTTACATTCACGCACGCTTCAGAAATTTGAATAAATTGAAGTTAATTTAGCCAAAACGTAAAACGGATAGGACGTAGGCCGAGCAAGCTTTTCTTCGTTTATTCGTAGACCCCTCACGAAACGTGTTTCTGCTGGGGTCCACACCGTAGGCTAGTATTTTAGTGAATTCGGGCGTTTGCTTGAAATCAAAATATAGTATGTACGAGCGACAGGATTATTTTAGAATATACAATGCAAAGAGGTCGGTAAAGTATAGTATTCAGTTTTGATGTAATAATTGGCTCTTTATATAGCAATAAGTATTGTATCATTTGCGACAGTTGAGTGCGCTATGTTGCGATTATTCAGTATTAATTGCTGGTTGTTTCTTATTTTCAATGAAAAATTGCTTGTGAATTACAAATTTACTATAGCACTTATAGTTCACTCGTTTTTCCACCATGGCATACTTCCCTTCAAGCATTAACTATGCTTCAAGATATCGGCTTGAATGCGCAATGAATGTTGTTATTGGAAATATAATATCCCTTATAATAAGCGGCAGCCTATTTCATTATGGCGCGTGAAATTCATCACGCGAAAAACGCGTTCGACTCGCAGCAGGATAATCTGACAAAAAGTTTTTATTTTAATTAGCTAAAAGCATTAACAAGGGAACAAAGTTTCCTGCGTTAATTTGGAAATCGTACATTTATTTGGAAATAAATTAAATGACGCGATTAGCATTTGTTTGATGTAGAAATCGTAATATACCCGCATAAAATAATGAAATGAAGCCTAAATGTAAACTTTTCAGATTTATTCAGTAAACAGTGATATTATGTGTGAATGATCATCGCAGTTCTGCGTCCTCTTAGACACGAAATATACTGCTGCAGAGCCTCTGAATAAAACGTATCATTTATTGTATTGTTTTTCGAAATATACATCACGTGATCGTTGCCATGACAACGAAAAGTAGGTCAACTTTTAGAAACTCCCTTGACAAATCATATAAAACTTGAATGGTAATAATCAAGGCCATACTTATTTTTTTATGATTTTTTGTCTATTTTCGCTAAATACACAAACTGAGACCCAGGCATTAATGTACCTGAGTTTATATTCACAATATATTCATTTTGCATTTGGAATGGAAGATATAATATTATGAGTTAGAATTTCAACGAAAACTAGGAGGATGGTTGCCAAGAACAGGAAATTGGAGAATGAGTTGACGAGCTCGCGCCAGCACACATGCATGGTTGGTCAGCCTCGACATGATTACACTTTTTTCTGTTTTGTTGCAGTTTTGAGAAAAAGTTGTGCCAGTTTATTTAAAGAGGGGGAAAGATATGATGGTGTATATACAATCAAACCAGATGAGGGGGAACCTTTTCAAGTCAGGTGTGACATGCGAACAGACGGTGGAGGCTGGACAGTGTTTCAAAAACGACAAGATGCAAGCGTTAATTTTTATCGCGGTTGGCAAGAATATAAAAATAGTTTTGGTAATTAGAGCGGAAATTTCTGGCTTGGGTTGGAGAAAATACATCGTTTGACAAAATCTGATCAAAATATCCTTAGAGTTGACTTGACAGATTTTACTAACGAAAAAGCCTACGCAAAGTATGGGAATTTTTTTGTGGCTTCTGAATCTGAATTCTATAAACTGAAAGTTGACACATTTTCAGGTAAATATGATAATACTAGTTTACCCACAGGGTAGTGAAATTTAATATTTTAAAGAATAAGAGTAAGAAATATTTGTAATGAATTGGAATCATCTATAATTTATATACTTGATTAACTTGAAAAACTTGAATAACCTGAATAACTTGAATAACTTCAATAACTTGAATTTATACACTGTATGATAACTCGGCGCTCGAAGTTTCGTATCGAAAGAGGAACAGCCGCCGAACAGGTACGATGGCTAACAAGAGTGAGTGTTAAAAGGTTTGAATCCAGGTTCATTCATTTTTCGTTTGTTTTATTGTTCTTCTAGATTATTACAAAATTAAATAAGTTTTTTCTGACGTTTCGGTTTCTTATACGAAAACCATTTTCGAAGCCTTGAACAAAGAGTAAAGATACAAAGAGAGTTCACTCGGTGAAAAATGCAGTGTTTAGGACGTCATACAGATTTGCGAAGCTGACGTCATTTACACGCCATCAAAAGCAAATTAAATATTCCAAAAAGAATTTAATATGCAGCAGCCAGTACCGTCGCTGCATTTTCAGTCAAAACTATAGGGAAAACGCAGTTCGAAATGCAAAAAGTGGCATTTTTAAGGAAAAGAGGCTTTCGACTAGCTTCATATCTGGACAAAATTTTTTATCAATAACAGTAAGTGATCTTTTCTATTCACATGAGAAGTACGGTTGAGCTTTTGAAAAACTTTTATTTAATTTTGAAAGTTGAAGGAGCGGTCTGCCCACAGATTGTGATATCCTATAAAGCGAACAAAACTATTTGCCGGGAATATATTAATTTCATCAGTGGCAAGACTCTCTGCTTGGCAAGTTGAGTTTGTACTTAATGGGTTAATATCCTGACAATCAAAATACACAATTTAAATCAGATCAACACACGTATCGAACTCTCAAAGACTGAGACATTTTGGTCGAGACTTGTTTTTTGCTAGTTTTTTCTCGTTGAAAAAAGTGAAGTTTGCTCTTACCTAAACATTATACGATACGAAATATACTGGAATGTTAATTGTGAACAACTTCTGAGCTTTTCTGCGGCAAAAACGACACAACTGGAGTATAGAACATCGTGTAGAACAATGTTTTGATCTCTTTTTGACTTGTGAACACAAGTTTCGAACTTCACTCCTTCGAGTATAATTTTCCCTTTTCGCAGCGTTCAAGTAGTGTTTGTAGCCCCATTTGTTGTTAAAAATGTCTAGTCTAACCCATTTTCTTGAAATTAAAACGAAACAGTTCACTTACGCATCACATTATGGTCAGAGAATGTTTTCCTTCCCAAGTCCATTTCGTGTCTTGTTGCCATATTATGAACTGCAATACTGTTACTAGCGACTTTATTTGCTATGCAGCGCTTATGTTCTTTAATTCGGCATCCCGAATTAAAGAACATAAGCGCTGCATAGCAAATAAAGACGCTAGTAACAGTATTGCAGTTCATCATATGGCAACAAGACACGAAATAGATTGGGAAGGAGCCACCTGCTTGGAGTACGCATCACATTATGGTCAGAGAATGTTTTTGGAAAGCTGGCATACGAAGAGCGAGAAGGACAGCATTAATGTTTGCCGCGAAATGCCAGGCGCGTATATTATAGTTTAATTGCAAATGAACGAGCGCGCGCAGAATGTGAACGCACGCGAAGACAATCACGCAACCGTGCAGCTGACGCAAGATAAACATCAACGGATAAAATGAACAAACGTTCAAGTCTTCGAAAATGGTTTTCGTATAAGAAACCGAAACGTCAGACAAAACTTATTTAATTTTGTAATAATCTAGAAGAACAATAAAACAAACAAAGAAGAATGAGTGTACTTATCAGCTTATCTAACGCTAGAAAAAGATCAAAATGGCAGGTATGGCTGTGATATCTAGTATATAAAATTGTATAGACAAAATTTGCCTACAAATACGATGCTAGGTCAAAACGGCCCAAAGTCAAAACGGCCCCGCTTCAATGATCATATGGTTTAAACCAGGGGTTAAAGGGCAATGACAATGACATGCAGCGAGTGTGCGTCTCACTAAATTTGCGTGTTTAATAATCGGTTTATCAAAGAAGGCAAAAATATATACAAGACAACCTCACATGTGGAATTTATTCACTTACGCACTGGCTTGTGATGCAGTACAAGTGCAAATACAAATGACAAAACATTTTTTAAGGCTTTAAATCCTAAAACATAATTGAATCATATACGGCACATTCAAGATTTTAATATCGTATTTCAGCTGCGTTTGTACTGCTTGGCGGGGATTTGCTTCGTTATATAAATAATTACTATGTTATATTGTATACACAGATTTATTACTAATAAATCAAAACTATATAATAATATAGAACTCACAAAGTGCAGTCACCTTTTTATAAATAAACCCTTTTAAAAGCATGTCATTCTCATTGCAGACCAAAGGCAAAAAACACGCCACATACCAAATTTAAGCAATCGTGAGATTATATACATGGAAAGAATTATGTTAAAAGTACCCCGTATAATGACGAAAGCACCGCGTATAACGCTCGAACCATTGCGTATAATGGCGAACGCGCCGTGTATATAATGGCGAACGCACCGCGTATAATGGCGAAAGCACCACGTATAACGCTCGAACCACTGCGTATCGACAAAATGCCGTTTGATACGTCAGCTATGGCTTTCCATAAAAGAAAACCAAAGATGAAAGATGATCACATTGCTTGTTTGCCTTAAACCTGTTTATTGATAATACTGGGTTTTAATAGTATACATGGAATAAGATATAACTTAATTGTCATGTATTTACATAGGTACTACTACTAATTTATTAAAATGTTAATTAAAACTATATCTATATTTACATCTAGTAAGAACATTATATATTATTATTGTATTTATCAATATCATAGACTAGTGAGCTGTTCTTTAAACGATCAGTTCTACTTTTAAAGTTATAAAATTTTTTTCTATTGGATCTAGTTTTCCTATTTCTAATGTTTCCCACTTTCACAGGTAATAAGTAGTGTAATTTATGTGACGGGGAGGACATGTTTTTAATTAAGTCACTGCAATGTATGTCGATTAAGTGGAAGTAGTTTAGACGAAGCAAGAGCATCTTCATAACTTAGGTCAGGAGTGATAATCCTTACAGCACGTTTTTGGATTCTTTCAATATCTTGACATTGTGATATAACGTTAGGCCTCCATGCCATAATACATCACCGCATTCCAAAACCGATCGAATCACTGAACAATAAAACTTTAATAGATCTTTTACTGGTGCGTCATATTTCTTTAACACCTTTTAAAAATATAGGCGTTTCCTGGCTTTTTTAATAATAAAAAAGGTATTAGTATGCCATTTGAGATCTGATCGATTGAAGCCAAATGCCTAATAGCTTGTGTGAATGTACTCTTCTCTTTCAATAGGAATGTTGTCTATCATAATCACTGTTATTTCAGATTTCATAATTCGAAGGTCGATTACCATTTCTTTAGTTTTTTTCAAGTTCAACCTCATGTTTTCCTCTCTTGAAAATTTTGAAATTCTTTCAACATTTGCTTGGATGTTACTCACTCGGTGGGTTTCAGGGTTATTTATATTAAGAATCTCTGATAGGGTAGTATCGTCCATTAAAATTGAAACATGTTCTTGTCAGTGAGTGCCAAATCTGGTAGTTCATTAATTTTGGTAATAAATGCTATCGAGCCGATTTTACTTCCTTGAGGTACCCCTGCGTTGACTTTTTTAAAACACGATGTCGATCCATCTATGTTTACCCTCTGTAACCGGGTCGGATAGGTACGAGGCTAGCCATGGTAGTAAAGCGGGACGAACTTCAATAGATTTAGAGTCATTCAGCAAGATGTTATGATCTATGAGGTCAAATGCCTTTGAAAAAATCTAAGAAAACGATTCTAATTACCGATTTGGGTTTCTCCAAGGCGACAAACCATGTGTGTAGCATTTCGAGGAGGGCTAATACAGGCAACGAACGAGGAATTCCCCCAACTTGACGTTTGCTGAGACAGCCCCTTGAATCTTCCAACATCCAATCCAGTGCAAATGATTCTTGAATTTTTGAAAATACACTTGTAAGGGCAATTGGGCTAATATCTCCTACTGTAGTGCATGGATTTGACTTTGGGATAGGGCAGCAGTTGTATGCTTTCCAAATCTCCCCAAAACATTTCTCTTGAAAGGAGGTGTTAATAATGTCTGTTAGTGGACCGGATAACAGCTCCGCAAACTGTTTGATAATTTTCGTTGGTAGAATAGCCTGCCGGGCTGGAAACAGTGCATTGTAGTAGGCCGAAATACGCCGAAACGATCTAGATTTTTCTTCTGCATATATCTATTATACATATACATAAAGATTATTCTGCTGCCTTGCTCGCTCGCTTCAGGCTCGCTCGCTGCGGCAGCAATAAGAAAGACTTTAATACCATATACAGCAACTGAACAATTATTGAAATAGGTTGAGCATGATATGAGTTTGTGTTATAACCTGAAAGCGGCGACCGAATTATTTTGCATATCGTGTTCAATTGGATTCAATAATTGTTATGTTCTTGATTAATATATTCAAATGTTCACAAGTGAATTTTCTACCAAATATAATGATGAGTTCTTTTGATAAGCCATTTTCAAAAGGATCGTGTCCCTTACTTCAAACTAATTATGAAAAACTGTTGAAGCCTTTTGTCGCCGTTTTCGTTTTGATTTAGCCTTTTACAAAATATGACCTTCACGTCAAAAAGTGGTCCACGGGGAAGCCATCTTGTTTTCGATCACTTTAGTACGGGCAAGCAGTCGAAATGTGCGACAGAAAAAAAACCATTTTCGTTCTTCTTCGTTTTGATTATATTTTAGTCTTCCTCAGCCATTCCTGCGTATTTTACCTATATTATTTAGTAGATTTTGAAAAGCATGTCTATAGTATATTAAGTATTTATTACATAGTTGACATCGAAAATACCAAATTGACTATCAGCAATATGCTATAGCTAACTGTGTTTATACACCACATGTCCATGTCCGGTTACTACATTCCTCCGCCCTAAGTTTTTTTTTTGTTCTTTTCTTAGTTTTCAAACAAACATCTTAATCTATTAAAGGCATAGATCAGCCTTTTGAATGATGATTTTTAAGGGGCGTTTCAGGCCTTTTAATTGGAAAAACTAACTAGGAAAATCAATTAAGCATAATTCAAGATCAGTAAACTTAATGTTTTTTAACATTTTAAAACATTTTTATTGTTAAAAACATTGAGTTTACTGATCTTGAATAAAGCATAATTGATTTTCCTAGTTCGTTTGTTCAATTAAAAGGGCTTTAATGCGCCTTAAAAACCATCACTCAAAAGGATGAACTGTGCCTTTAACTAATAATAACTGTGTTAGAATCTCATTATATAATCGTTCAGTTTTAGAGGCATTCTACGCTGTCTTGTCAGATGACGTCTCTCAGAGTCACCTGATTCTTCAAACAGCAGCTTCACCTGATTCCTCAACAGTAGATTCATTTGGTTCCTCTGTGGTCTCAGATCTGATTGGTGTCTGCCGTCGGATCTGATCGTGATGTCACCGTACCACTCGGGAGTCATCCGTGGCAATGTTTGCAAAACCTGGCCCAGTTTCCTCTATCACCTTACCAGTTGACCACATCTCAAACTTCATCTCCTATCGAAAAATTATTAGGCTTCGAATGTTGATCATATTTAACTTTCTGTCTATTCTGAACATATCCCAAGGTTTTTCCAGGGTCGGGCTGGATCAAGGAAAGATGGGATCGTAACTGTGTTCCCCAACGTAATTGCACTGGTGCTTGGCTAGTAGTGGTGTGTGATGTAATCCGATACTTGAACAGTAATCGCGACAGTCGTGTTTGCAAAGAAGCCTTTGGTTTTCATCGTTTGCATGAAGGTTTGCACGGCTCGTTCCACAAGGCCATTGGAAGATGGATGATATGGAGCTGATGTAACGTGTCGCACTCCATTCTTGGGAATTCTTCAAATTCTTTGCTCACAAAAGCTGGTCCATTAGCTGATACCACCATTTCAAGTAACCTCTGACTAGCAAAAGTCATTCGTAGCTTCTCGAGTGTCCTCTCGGCATTGGACTAATTGGTCATGTGGATATCTAAACATTTCGAATGTGCGTCAATAATCAATAGGAACATCTTTCTCATAAATGGTCCTGCATAGTCCACAACCATCCTAGACCATGGTTGATGCGGCCATTCACACGGATGCATAGGTGCTTTCGGATGCATAGGTGCTTTTTAACAGACAGCCTTCTTGGAAACTCAGTTCGTTTCTTCGAGTAAAATACGGTTTAATAATATTTGTATACTTGCGCTAACACCCGATCTCTCGTTGTCCATTGCCAGATTTTTCCTGCATCAACCGGACTTGTGGACAACTGATCCATCAAATTGACCACTTCACTGGGTATCGGCGTCGTACTCCGCTCGATTTTCAACGGCAGTCTGCTGAGGGCATCCGCGTTGCTGTTCTCTTTTCCTGGTAGAAAAATCACGTCGTACTCGTACGTTGACATCCTCAAGGCCCATCTTTGAATACTACTCGATGCCATCCGTGTGGAATTGCACGTTCGTAACTAAATATTCCCAGGAGTGGCTTATTATCGGTGTAAATTGTAAAATGCCGACCATATATGAATTGAAGGAATTTCTTAACTGCGAAAACCGTAGTCAAGCCCTCTTTATCTAGCTGTGGATATTTCTTCTCTGCCGCTGTCAGAGTTCGCGACGCAAAGACAATTAATTGGTTTCTCGGTTCCATCTTCCATCTCGTGGGATAGTCCAGCACCAACTCCATGAGGCGAGGCGTCACAAGCAACGAATAATTTCTTTTTCGGATCACAATATGGACCAGTACGGGAGGAGGTTCTTCAAACCTTCAAACGCTTTTGTCTGTTCTGCCCTCCATTTCCATGTTTCATTCTTGCGTAGTAACCGGTAGAGTGGCTCTAGAACACTTGAAAAATGAGGAAGGAACTTGCCATAGAAATTGATTAAACCAAGATAGGATTTTAACTCGCTGATGTTGGTTGGGGACTAGTGCTTCTTTCACCGATTGCTGCTATTCAATAGCCCAGACAATCATGGGCTAGTTGCATGAAACGACACTTGGATCTTTTTAACGTAAGCCGGCTTCGGATAGCCGTTTCATCACTTCCTCGAGGTTCCGTAAATGCTCGTCATCTGTTGCACCAGAGATCAGAATGTTGTCGAGGAGAGCTCCTGTAAAGGGAATGCCATTCAGTAAGCCTTCTATTGTTTTCTGGAAAATACCTGGTGCGGAAGAGACTCCATAAGGTAGACGGTTATATCTGTACAAACCACGATGAGTATTAATCGTAACACATTCTTTCGAGTCCTCGTCGAGTACCATTGGCTCATATGCGTGGCTCTGATCAAGTTCGGTGAATGTTTTCCCACCTGCTAATTTATTATGGATTTCCTCTATCCTGGGTATCGGATATGCATCTAGGCGAGAAGCTTGATTTACGGTCAATTTGTCCCATCTGGCTTGATAATGGGTACTACCGGGGTTGTCCACTCTGAATATTGCACCGCTTCTATTGCCCCTTCCCTTTCTAACCTCTCTAGTTCCTTTTCAATTTTACTCTGCATTGAATACGGCACACTATGAGCTCGATAGAACGTAGGTTTTGGCATTGGTTTGAGACGTATCTTTGCTTTGATACCATGCAGCATGCCCAATTCTTCATTAAACAAATGATCATACTTTTTCAACACATCCTCGAAATTCACCTTCCCCAGGCGTCGAATGCTTGACCAATCAAGACGGATATTATCTAGCAAATTGCGACCACATAAAATAGGCCCGGTACCTGTTGGGTTTTGTTGCCATATTTTACGCTTACTTCTATAATTCCCAATCAACAAACACGTTATTTTTATCATTTTTATTTTATTTTTATTTGCCCATATAAAGCTAAATATATTTACAATATATATTTGTACAAACATTAAGGGCTAGGAACCTTTTATTCAAAGGCCGCTAGTTTAACAATATTATAAAAAATGGTTAAAGCAAACGTTCAAACGCTTTTGTCTGTTCTGCCCTTCATTTTCATGTTTCATTCTTGTGTAGTAACCGGTAGAGTGGCTCTACAACAATTGACAAATGAGGAAGAAACTTGTCATAGTAATTGATTAAACCAAGATAGGATTTTAGCTCGCTGATGTTGGTGGGGACTGGTGCTTCTTTCACCGCTTCAACTTTGGCTTCGACGTGATAAATGCCTTTCACGTTAGATTTCTCTTGATACGTCGGTATTTTTGTCGATGGATGCAATACGTTGAATATTTTATAAGTTTTCTCTGGTTCGCTCTCAACTTGCTCCACCTTGTTCGCTTGAACGTTTTGAAATTATAATTGGTATCCTCTCGTTTGTTATCCACTTTGATCTTTCTTTCTACTTTGGCAAACCCTCGAGATGTGACCAATTTTCCCACATTTGTGACATGTTTTGTTTTTAAAGCGGCAGTCTTCTGGGTTATGTTTACCTCCACAACGAAAACAGGAATACTCATTATTATTTTGCCAATTATTCATCGAGTCATTAATTAACATTGTTGTCATTGTTCATTCTACCCTGTAATTTATGCATCATGTTTTGACTGTCGATTGCATTACTCTTCCAGTCACGCACGTCCTTCGCAGCCGCTTCCTCCCAATGGATCCAGCGCCTGTTTTAAATCGAGTGTCGATTCCGCCAACAACCGTCTCTGTATATGGTGCTTCGGGTTGTATTAAACTCCGCAAGAGCTTATAGGTCTTAGCTCCTATCGCGCTTAGAAAAATCGAGCGTTTCTTGTCATCGTCGTATATTTCGTTTGCTTCGAAGAAATGTATCCTCCATTCGTTCAATGTATTGTGGCCACTCTTTGGTTTCATTGTATTCCTCTCTTTTGCCGTAAGTCGCCATATTATCCTCGTCGCCAATATAGTATATACATTAAGTATTTATTACATAGTTGACATCGAAAATACCAAATTGACTATCAGCAATATGCTCTAGCTAACTGTGTTTATAACTACATGTCACGGGACTGAAACGTCATGTCCGGTCACGTCATGTCCGGTTATACTACAATATCATTTAGCAGATTTGGAGGGTTCAACCTCCCCTCCCCCCCCCCGCCCCCTTCAAAAAATAAATTAACTTTCCGCGCTTTTAGAGAGGAGAACAAAAATCATGTGAAAATATTAGTAAGCTCATTCATTTATCGTAACTTTCCTATTTACCTGAAACATTCAAACAATTTTGTAGAACAGCTCACAATATATCCTATAGTTTCGTGTTGTTGTTAATTTCCGTAGATATACATTGCATTGCGTGAATTTGGGTTGAGTTCCATGACAAGAGTTTGATAAGTTTGTATTACTTTAATTGTAATTTATACAGTGATAGATTGAGCTTGCATCGTTCAAAAAGTGCATGTAAGATACCATTTTAATAATTTCAATCAAAATTTTAAACAAGGACAATGGTCAGCGTCAAAATTATGAAAAAGACAATTTGGATAAAATTGCCAACTAAATTTTTTTTAAAATGCTCATTAAAGTTCGAATGACGATTTATGTTTAATCGATATCTCTTAATCGATATCAGTCTGCCTTGTAAATCATCAGACTGATCGGCTAATCATGCTTTAAGATTACATATAAATTTGTGCTTTACAATTGTATTTAATCCAACGACCCATGTTTGTCCTAAGATGGTCATTTTTCTTAAGATGCAAACTTCAGTGCTCAAAATATATTTTAAGGTAATGCTAGAGATTCGATGAGTTATCACAACGGAATGAAGTTCTCCACCAAAGGCAAAGACAAAGATCAATCAAACTGTGCTGCGTCGTATAAAGGTGCTTGGTGGTATAATACCTGTCACCACTCCAACCTCAACGGTCAGTACCTCAAGGCAGGTCAGAGATCATCCTCGGGGATTAATTGGTACTGTTGGAAAAGCGACTGGAGATCTATGAAAAAAACAGAGATGAAAACACGACCTGCGCAATTTTAGAGAAGTCTCATACATTAGCTTCTTAATCTTCAAACAATTGTTTATAGTTATTAGACAAAAAGAACTAAGTTGATGAGTCTGGGACTGCGCATAATTAGTATTATAAAAATTTGTATCTATCAATGTACTAAAATAAATCTACAATCCTGGACAAAACCATCTGCGACACGCTATTAATTAAAACATTCCTTTGTGGCTTTTGTTTTACCAGTTAGACCGGTGTCCCAGGATTTTCGCCCCCCCCTTACAATTTCGCCCCCCGGGGGGCGAAATTTCTGGGAATATCCTAGGAAAATTCGCCCCCTTTAGGAAATTTGCCCCCCTTTAGGAAATTCGCCCCCCCCCCCCTTTAGAAACTTCACCTTTTCTTTAGGATTTTTGTCCTCCTTTCAAAATTTCGCCCTTTCCTAACAGTTGCATGGGATAATTATTACATGGCTTTAGTCATTTGAAATCAGTATCAATTCAAAATTGTTAAGACAGAGCTTGAAATAACAATGGAATTGCTTATGATCGGCGGAAAAGCAGGGTTTCGGTTTCCAACCTGAAACAATCAGGGAAAGTCATGATCGAGAACTTTGGGAACGTTATTTCAAGCCCTGTAAGAATACAAATTTACAATTACATGTATCGAAAGGGCTTACACAGTTCACAGTTAATAGACTTATGACGCTTCACAGCACACCATGCATATTTTGCATTTTCAGTGTTCATCCTTAAACTCATTGTTAAAAAGTAATCACCGTGGTGGTTGTTGTAATTATTGGTATTGTTTTGCATCCAATTTTGTCGTTATCGGAAAATGTATGGCTTACAAGTTGTCACTATTTTTTACTTGCATTATTTCAATATAGTTTGTAAATTTCAGAAGCGAAGGGTAGAACTTGCCAATAGACAATATACTCCAATAATATACGTTTCAAAAAAGACAAAAAAGCTTTTAGTTTTGCAGAGTTACATTCTCAAATGTTTAAGCCACTAATAAAATCAAAGTATCATGAAATTGTTTGAATAAACCACACCACATATATATAATGCAATTTTCTTTGCGGAAGTTAAAAATCAAGATTACATCACTGACACTGACACGGAAAGTTGACGATTCAATGGACAATAGTCAATACGCTTCCCAAAAAATTCCATAGATTTTTGTGGCTAGCCCGTTTGCGGGCTAGCCATTATCACATAGTATACAAACGCGATGAGCGATGATGATCATGGTATCCAGTCCGGATTTTCGTAAAGTATCGGGAGCAATCGGAAGCGCCCGTATTTTTCTGCCGACAATTCACACTTGCAAGGCATTTGATGATTTTTATCCAGCTTGAAGACTTCTACTTCTACACTAGCATGAGCAGCACATCGCGTTATTCCTTGTGTTCCTTTGAGCAGCATATCGCGTTATTCCTTGTGTTCCTTTGAGTAAAAGGTATATTTGCTCATTTCTATTTTTGTATAAGTTTGCTTTTATTGTTACAACGCCATTTTGGCTTGCTCTGGTCAAAGATATATTTTTGGTCCGAATATAGATATGGCATTCTTATACGCAAAGTTGACGTATCAAATCAGAAATACAGTATACAAAGGAGCCAAATCAAAAATTGAAAAATACAATATTACACATGAAAGGGCCCATTGTGCTCGTACTGATCATACAGGGCTATTTACAGTACATGAAAAGCCACGTACCAAACAAAAACAATACAAGAAGGCCGGGAGTATTGTAGGTATATTGCAAACCAATTGCCATTTGTGCTGGGATTACTACCTTGACTATTGCTATATTAGTAAAAAAAAACTACCTTGACTTTTGCTAATGTAGTCACAAGAACAACCTTGACTATTGCTATAGTACAGTAGTCCATGTATATGAAATTATTTTAGTAATTTTGTTAGTATTTGCATTTTTTATTATGTATCTCCTTGGATGTATAAAAATTGTTGTGTTCATCATCTAATGTGTTTTCACATTCCTTTTGAAACTATTTGCTAAAACACCCTCTGGGTATAATAAGCATCCAGCAAGTATACACGTATTCTTGGGTTTCATATGACATCACAAAAGTGACGGGCGGTCAACTCTAAAACAAAACACAGTTATCAGAGTGAGTCGATTGTTCGTTTTATGTATTAGCCTTGTGTTCAGTGGCAAATACATGGAATTTCGCATCATTTTCTCACTCCACTACAGCATAAGCATCGAATACATTTGAGGTTGACCCCCCGTCAGATTCACTGCATAATGCTGTAGTGAAACCCAAGAATAGGCAACCCCTGCCATTAAGCACCCTCTGGGTATAAGCACCATCTGGGTATAAGCATCCCCTGGGTATAAACATCCCCTGGGCATAAGCATCCACTAAGTATAATTACAGAATTTGCTAAAATTAAGACAAATGCCAAACTCAGAAATGTGTGAAATGACTTTACTTTCTCTTTATACTTTCCATACTAATTTTGCAGTCAATAATGCTTCATTTGACCTGTAACATGAACAGCCCCTACAATATTGGTTAACTCATTGAGCCGCAATGTGCCCCAGTGTGCCCTACTTTTTTTACCTGTCCAACGACAGACGATTTTATTCGTCAATGGGGAAGCTTTGCAACTTAATGGGTTAGAAAAAGTAATCTTTCAAAAATGTGTTCAAATAATTCGGGCAATGTCATTTCAGAAACCCAAATTTTAAGACATTGTGGGAAGGGTGTATGATACTGGAACACCTAGCTCCCCCTTCCTAGGACTGCCAAGTCTCATGCACGATATGCAGTCAACCTCGACAGCTATGACAATGTTATCTGCTGAAGCTGAGGGCTGGATACAGTAATTGATATATTATACAATTGCAAAAGCACATGCAGTTGTAGAGAGTTTTGTACGTCAGCCATGCATACTAGAAGTTATGTCACCTACAGACAATTTTTCAATGTTGGAGGCAGCAAGACATTGAGAATTGTTTGTAGATTCTTAGCCAATCACCACGGAGATTGCATATGCATTGTACAATAATATCTCCTCTTATTACTATTAAAGTTAGCCTGGGTATCTTCTTATTACTATTAAAGTTAGCCTGTGTGTCTTTTTATTACTATTAAAGTTAACCAGCATGGCAGGCTCTCTGGGTTTGGAGGAGGGTTTGAGGAGTTAAAGTTTACCAGGTTAGCCACATGTACGCATTGCGTACCTATTTTTTATTAATCCTATAGTTTATTGTTAGCAAGTGATTAATGTGACGGCTATTGTTAACACTGGTATTGATAAAATTTGCAAGCGATTGCTTTTATAATATGTTATGTGAATGTAACTGCCAGAAGAATACGAGAACATGATTTTATGCGATCTCTGTGGGCAATGGTTCCACTTTAGATGTATAGAATATGACACTAGTCTAAGTATCTCAAATGAGTGGTTATGCAGACTGTGCACACCACCAGCTGCTAAGAAGCTTAAAATGTGTATGTGATTTTGTCTCCTTGTAATAAATAAATAAATCACACAATAAATCTTTTCAACTTGCAATCATTTTGTTTTTAGATCAAAAATTCAAAATTTATATGGGGGGGTGCGAAATTCCTAAAGGGGGGCGATATTCCTAGGAGATTCGCCCCCCTGGGGGGGCGAATCTCCTGGGGGGGGGCGAATCTCCTGTGACACCGGAATAATTTACTCGTTTGCTCCCCTCCACCCCCCAAAACAATGTTGGACGTTTTATCCGTATTCTACGAATGCAATAAACATTGAATGGTGGAGGAAAGGGGGAGGTTTTCTAAATTTACGATAATATTACGACATTTTGACAAGTAATTGGAAGTATCTCAGATGCTTTGTCCAGGATTGTAGCTTTAATTGAAAAGAATTTAAAAGAAAATTTTTAGACTACTTTACCATACTACTTTATTCAAAAAATTTTAAATCTCTGTTGAAAATACTCGAAGATATGTACACTTAAAACCATGACCAGCCGACAATTTAAAAAAATAAAGTAAAAAGCAAATTCCGAAAATACAGGACATCTTGAGAATTCAATATATAATTCAAAACAAGACGCAGTTCGAGACTCGGTAAATTTTCGACTTTATTTCAAAGTCATCTTCAGACAGAATGAAATACAATACTTTACAACACATATATATACAACGCAGAGAGAGAGCATCTGTCATGTGGGCGGAAAGAAGGATTATCCAAGCGAAGTGAAACATGATAGAGAAAATAGTGCATAATATAAATTAGTACATAAAGTACATAAAGTATTTCTTTAGTACAAGTAATAGTACGTAAAGCATTTTTTTAGCTAAAATAAAATAATCAAAAAGTAAACTAAATTGGAATTTGATGATGGTTTATGCTAATTTTGTGACCTTTTCAGAAATGCTAGTTCAACTTTGAAACGTCAATAGCTCTGTCAATATTGAGCGGAAAATTAAATGTTATATATCAAAATCTAAGTTCTTCAAATTCTAAATCTAAATCCTTTGTGTATACAATGCTTTTCATTTTAGTAAAATAGCTTTCATATGTTTTACATTACATGAAATCAAGTATTTTTTTGGGACACTCGGTAGACTGCTTAAAGTTTCCTGAAGAAGCTGCGTTAATTAGAAAAAACTTACAACGCGAATTTTTAAATAATATGTAGTTATAGGTATTGTTGATTTCATAAGTATATTTATTAATTGTTTAATTTAAATTGTATATTGATTCTGAAAAGCCCCTTTTGGGGATGATCAATTATATTATCAATCAATGAATCAATCAATATGTGTACGTTTAAAAATTTTTAAAGGAAAACAAGGACTCAAATTTTCAAGGAGTCATATTGACTACAAAAGTGAAGTAAATATAAAAGGTACAGAACGACTTCTTTTTTGGAGTAAATTTTACTCATTTTTTACTCCATTTTTTGGAGTAATTTTTACTCCTTACGTGGAGTTGGCTTTTAAAGAGTAAAAACAGCTCTACTTAAGGAGTATAAATTACCTCAAAAATGGAGTCGTTCTGCATCTTTTTTATTTACTCCACTTTTGGAGTCAATTCGACTCCTTTGGAGACAAAATATATGACTCCTATATATTGGAGATATATATAGATGTCATAGATATAGATAGATTTATTTAAATTGGCTCGCGTTTACGTCAGTGTTGCCATGGCAACAGGATAATTTTAATTTATTATTACATTTTTTTAATTTTTTTGTACAACACGCCAAAAATAGTTGAAATATCATTGCTTTTAACTATATAACAATGAATTTCCAAAATATGTACTGTGTAGGACTGGTATGCTATTTAGCATTTTGTGAGCTTTGATTTATTGTAAAACTTACTCTGAATCGCTTCAGAGGCGCAGGAGAATCGATAATAGCGGGGGCAGATATTTATATATTCGTGTTCACAGACTGTAAAAACAATCGATTTCAAAAGAAATTAATTGGGCAGAACACGAATATATGAATATCTGCCCCCGCTGTTATCGATTCTCCGGCGCCTCTGAATCGCTTTGTAAAATGTTTTGAAATGTTCAGTGATAACTAAACAGCTTTCGCCGAGAAACTATTTTTACTTAATAAACCAAAATAAGTCAAATTGTTGAGTAATTTCAGTTAGTTCTTCAAATTAATTTGCTCTCCTTTAAAAAAAATTATTTCCTTTTTTTCTTAAATTATACAGGGTAATTTAGGAAACTTACAACTTCATTGAAAAGGAAAGCAGTGCATGATTTCATTTTTATTGATTTTTTATTATTATTATAAAGTACACATTAAGTAGCTTAAATAGCTAAATTGCAATGTGATTCATAAGCTATAAATATATCTATAAGATAAAAAAATATGAGTTACGTTACAAAATTACAATTTTTCTTATACTCGCTCCTTAAAGTCAAGAGATACAGTAAGGTACAATTAATTATTAAATTATCTACAATATAATACTTTAAAATGTTTAAGATTGAATTACTTAAAGAATGTGTGTCAACCGGCATGCACTGCGCGCTTTTTGTTTATATTATTGTTCACGCTTGTTACTTCATTTTATATTCGCGCATTGATACTTGACCGTCGCCACACGCAACAAGCTTTAAAATCGTGATAAATTGTCCGATTCAGACTCTGATTATGCTGTGTCTGTTTACGATCCTGAAGACAATTTAAATTGTTATGGTTCTCCGATTGAAAGCCACGATCAATTTCAGTTAGGAGAGGTTGCATCAACTGCCAATGCCTTCAATGCATCAACTGCCAGTGCTTCAACAATTGTTGAAAACATTCAACCTCAACGAACCCAGGTATGTTTGTGATTTCATGTTTTGTTTATTCCTTTATTAATTGGTATGTATATTTCTATTTATTCATTGTATTTATTTGATAGTTTTGCAGCTGCAAGAATACATGTAGCAGACGTAGTGGACGAAAAAAGCGCGGTTGTCCGTGTCGCGATGAAAATTTGCATTGCACTGACAAGTGTTCCTGTGGGTCAAAAAAGTCTTCTTGTAAAAACCAGGAACAAAGTACGGCGACTGCGACGAATGCAAATGCTGGGAAAAATGCATTTGACCGCCATCAAGCGGCCATCGAGGTTTCTAACCGCGAGATTACGGTAAGCAAAGCAAGTGTTCATACAGAATTTTGATCGTTTTAATTTCCCATATATCTTTTGCACACCAGGTCTTTTATATTAATCCAAATAATTATGAGTATTACACTATAAACAACGCAAATATAAAAGTTAAATGATGCACATACGACGCATATTCAATGAAAATTTCCACATATGCGCCCTAATGAATAATTCATTGTTCTTCCTGTTAGTCAAGCAAACATGGCTGCCAAGCGCAAATCACTGTATTATATGTATCTGGCTATGACATCAAGACTCTAGGCACAGTTATATTTAGTTTTACTGGTTTATGTCTTCATAAATGGCTTTATATATAATTTTAGGGCTTTATCGGGGAATTAAGCGACGCTCAAAAAGACAATATTCTTTTAAATTTGTTGTTAAATGGAAAAGGGAGTCTGGATTATGCCAAGAATTTGGTAAAATGTGGCACAGGTGATGCTGTCCCACATGTCCCAGATGGAAAACCTACCTGGTGTGTATGTGGTGTCTGTCGTGTCATGCCGACTGAGGAAGAAAACAAATGTTGTGGCAAGATTCGTTGTGTTACATCATTTGTCACATTCCAGAACACATGTACTGACAGGGATGTTTTGTTGATTGCAATTAGAGCAAGATGTGACATAAGAGTAGAGGACCCTGACTATTCAACAAATAGTTACCGCAAGGCTGCATACCGTCAGTATATCCTTTGGAGGTACAAGAAATTGGGCAGGGGCAATCGAAGGGTGTGCCCATCATGTGTAGTCTTGACCATTCGACACATTTTCCCTGCTGATGATGGAAACTATATGGGTTTCAGGAGAGCTTGACATGTTAGTTTAATTAAACATTTATAGAATATTCAATTTCATATTTGTAATATATATATATAATATGCATGCATAAATGTCTAAAATTGTTATATACATCATAGCCAAAGTTGATGTCAGGCCATAATTCCCCAACTTCATTCACAGATTCTTACCTCTTGTGGACAGTGAATTAAATATCCTGGTATGAGCTAGTCATCTGATCTGTCAAAATCTAGCAGATTTCTAATTAACCGACTATAAATTAACCCTTTATGTGGCAATGCGCCCAGATGCACCCTATTTTATTATTTTTCTCTGTCTAATGCCAGACGATTTTACTCGTCAGGGAGAGAGCGCTGCCACTCAATGGTTTAAACTATGCAAGTCATTTCAATATTTACCTCATCTTGTTTTGCTACTTGAAAAATCTTGTAGATTTTAGCAGATCACATGACCAGCTCATACCAGGAGTTTTCCTCCACAAGAAGTAAGAACCTGGGAAGGAGATTGATGTTCCCTTTCTTTCAAATATACGTAAATGTAGGTGAGAGGGAAGAGGACCTTACACAAGTCCCTGCCTAGCCACATATCAATAAAAAGATCCCTTACCACCCTCTAAATATAAATTTTACTTTGGGTGGAGAGCAACTAGATTAGGGTTTGTGCCAGGTTCTCTTTGTAAAATAGACCCTGTTACTCCGGCTATTATAAAAAATACAGAACATATATGTTCATGTAGGCTTCGCAAATCTGGATAGTGCCCGATCAACAATTTCTTGCGTAGCTGGGACAGGCTGCATAGCAATTGAATGACATATGTTTTTCGGATGCTCTGCTGACAGTTTTACTTTTTTCAGGATACTATCCTTGTCATCAATCTTCCTCTACAGGATGCCAGAAGTTAGAGCTGGCCAGAAGTCATAGGTCTTCTCTTCTAATACAGCCGTCACTCTCCAGTTTTTTGAACGCTTGCTGTACACTTTGTTGTATTTCTTCTTTCCATCCCTGTTCAAAGCTGCTTGTCTGAAGAGATGGCTGTTGTGGTCAATAGCTGCAAGTAATGTTCTTGCTATAAATGAGTCATTCCTAAAACA